AGTAAATGAAACCTAAACAATAAGAATTTTCTTAATTGTTTAAAATTAAGAAAATTCAATAATTTTAAAATAAGGGTTTGGAGCTTCTAGAAAGCTTTTGCCTTAAAACTCTATTTATAAAATTCATTTTATGTAAGTAAAACAACTTTATTTTTCTTTTCTTTTCTTGATGTAAGATTGTAACACTTTATATAAGTGAAACAACTCACTTTTTGGCTATTTTCTCAATATGAGATTGTAATTAGTTTAAAGTTAAATATTATAAGGGTTTCAAAATCTCATACAAAATTATTTTTAAAATCAAAATTATGTGAGATTATAAAATAAAAGTTAAATGGAAGTTAGGCAATGAGAATTTTCTTAATTGTTTAAAATTAAGAAAAACAAAAAAATGAGTATGAGATATTTGATTATAGAATTTCTTACTAAAAATCTCATTTTGCTTATACAAATGGGAGTATAAGATTCACTTTACATAAGTGAAATAATTTACTGTTTTTTTTTCTTCCCTAACGTGGGATTGTAAAATAAAGGGTAAATTACAAATACATCCTTTGAAATTTACTTAAATTAAATTACTCCTGTCGTTATAGAAATTACATCATACCATCTAAAGTTTCTAATTTCATAAAAAATAGGTCATTTTATTAATAAATCGTCAAAATAATTAACATTTTTTAATAATGTTAAACTTTTATTTCAATTAATAATTCAAATAATTTTATTATTGTATAAGTGAACAGTTAGAAATTTTACTTTTTCAACTGATTTTATTAAATAAAAAAATCTGACAATAAGATATTTGTAATTTTCTAGGCCACATGAGTAATTTGTATTTTAAGCAAATATCAGGGAGTATATTTGTAATTTACCCTAAAAAAAAAGGTAAATAAAAGTTAGTCAATGAGAATTTTCTTAATTATTTAAAATTAAAAAAAATTAATAATTTTAGAATAAAGATTTGGAGCTCTTAGAAGGTTTCTTCCTAAAAATCCCATTTTTCATATAATATATATATATATATATATAGATAGATAGATAAATAGTGAAACAAATTTTATTTTTTCTTCTTCACCCGATATGAGATTATAAAATAAATCATAAGCTAATTAAAATTTTATTTTTATATGGTTAAATGGAAGTTAGCCAATAGAAATTTTTTTAATTGTTTAAAATTAATAAAATCAATATGAGAAATCGCGATTAAACCGGTGAATCGGTCAAATCTAAAATGGTTCAGCCTAATCGGTTAGGTCAAATGACCAACAAACTTATACAAAAATTAATTAATTAAAACTTTTAAATTTTATTTTAATTTAAAAATTTAAACTGTCTTGAATTGAAATATACACAATACTACACTATTAAAATTCACCTTATATAAGTGAAACAACTCAATTTTTTTTCTTTTTTTTTTTTCGATCTGAGATTATAAAAGAAAAGTTAACAATTATTTGAAGGGAAAATTTATTTCTAATCAAGCAAATCTCAGTATTTCAATCTTTAATCAAATCAATCTTTAGTTTATTTTGAATTGAACAAAATTTAATCAATATATTTTGATAAAACTGCTAAAATTGCGATTAAACCAATAAATCAATCAAATAAAAAATGATTTAGCTTAATTAGCTAAGTCATAATTAATTAATTAATTAATTAAACCTTTTAAAATTTAAACTACATTAAATTGAAATATGTACAACACTATAATATTAAATGGGATGAGAGCATAAGATTAATTTTATATGAGTAAAATAACTTCTTTTTTTTTCTTCTTGTTTTCTTGATGTGGGATTATCAAGTAAAAGTTAGCCAATAGATTTTTTTTAATTGTTTAAAATTAAGAAAACCAAGAAAATTAGTATGAGATATTGAAACTCTCACAAGACTCCTCACTAATAAACCTTTTAAAATTTAAACTATATTAAATTGAAATATGTACAACACTATAATATTAAATGGGATGAGAGCATAAGATTAATTTTATATGAGTAAAATAACTTTTTTTTTTTTCTTCTTGTTTTCTTGATGTGGGATTATCAAGTAAAAGTTAGCCAATAGATTTTTTTTAATTGTTTAAAATTAAGAAAACCAAGAAAATTAGTATGAGATATTGAAACTCTCACAAGACTCCTCACTAAATGAGATGGGAGAATAAGATTCTCTTTATATGAGTAAAACAACTTATTTTTTTTCCTTTGTTTCTCGATGTGAGATTATCAAATAAAAACTAGAAAGTTTTATATCTAATAAAGCGATCTTAATCTTTAAATCTTTAATTAGATCAATTTTTAGTTTATTTCGAATCAAACAAATTTAATCAATATATTTTGATAAAATCGCTAAAATCGCGATTAAACCAACAAATCAATCAAATCAAAATTTATTTAGCATAATCGGCTAGGCCATAATTAATTGATTAAAACTTTTAAAATTTAAACTATATTGAATTAAAACATACACAACACTACAATATTAAATGAGATGAGAGTATAAGATTCATTTGTATGAGTAAAATAACTCATTTTTTCCCCTTCTTTTACCGATGTGGGATTATCGAATAAAAGTTAGCCAATGGAGATCTTATTAATTGTTTAAAATTAAGAAAATCAAGAAAATTAGTATGAGATATTGAAGCTCCGTTTGGTAAGCCTCTCAAATTATAGTTCCACACATTGATTTGAGTGTGGTGTTTGCATTGAACTTTCAAATCATAATTCTACACCAATTTCTCAAAACTTAATTCAAAATATAATCATTACTTTTCAAAACTCATAACCAAACACATAATTCAAAACTATTTTCATAACTCAATTCAAATCAATATTTTAATTTGGTTAAGATTTTAAATATTATAACATTTAAATATGTTACGATTTTTTTAATTTTTTAATTTTTTGAATAATTTTAAATATTTTAATTTTTAAATATTACGATTTTAATTTTTTAAATTTTAAAATATTTTATAAAAATAAATTCAAACTCTATTTTATAAAAATAATTTTAAATATTTTAATTTTTTTGTTATGTATTTGGTTATGAGTTATGTGTTTGGTTATGAGTTTTAAAAATAATTTCTTAATTGAGTTTTGTTTTATGTGTTTGGTTACGATTTGAGTGTTGAGTTGTTTTTAAATTTAAAATATTAAAATTTTAAATTATTTAAATTTTTTGACTAGTTAAAATATTTAAATTTTTTTGAATATTTATTTTAATTTTTTACTTATTAAATTTTTTAGATTATTTAAATTATTTAAATATTTATGATTTAAATTTTTTGAATATTTATTTTGAAAAAAAATTATTTCCTTTTTAGTATTTTCAATTAAAAAATTGATTAATGTTATTTTCTGTTAATAATAAAATTTTTTAATTGAATTTTAAAAAGAGTTTGGTTATGAGTGTTGATCAGAATTTTCAATAATGTGAAAGTAGTGTATTTTGTTATGAGTTACAACAATTTGAATTAAGTTTTTAAAACTCTTTCAAAAACTCATAACCAAACAAATTTTCTTATTTTACACGTCAAAACAAACTTTCAAAACTCAATTCCACACTCAATTCAACACTCTATTCAAAAATCATAACCAAACAAATTTTCTACACTCAAATCATAATTCCAAAATACACAAACTCAAAATACAACTCATATTCTCAAATCATAGTTAGAAAGTCTTACCAAACGGAGCACTAAATGGGATGAGGGCATAAGATTCTCTTTATATGAGTAAAACAACTCATTTTTTTCCTTATTTTCTCGATGTGAGATTGTTAAATAAAAGCTAGCCAATAGAGATTTTCTTAATTATTTAAAATTAAGAAAATCACAAAAATTAAAATGACATACTGAAACTCCCACAAGACTCCTCACTAAAAACATCATTTTTCTTTGCATTGGAATTATAAAAAGAAAAAAAATTCATGTAGACATTTTTATTTTATTTTCACTTCCATTAGGAGTACCAATATATTCTATTAATCAAATATCAGTTTTTAAATATTTTATTTTTCATTTTATTTTTTGTTTTTTAGTGAAATTTTTAATATTTTAATAAATATTTTATTATTTTAATATATTTCAAACATAAAATATTTGTGAAGAAATATAAAAAATATTTATAAATATAAAAAAATACAAAAATATATTAAATTTTTGTATTTGTTTTTGTATTTAATGATTTTTTTTTATAAAAAAATCACAAACAATTTATTTTTTATATCTATGTAAATTAAGTAAATTAAAAAGGTAATAAAAATTAGTTTAATTTATAAAAAAATATGAAAATACAATTATTATTATTATTTTTTTTAAGAAATCAAAACCAAATAGAGTTTTTTGGGTGAATAAAAACCAAATAGAGTGATTACCATTTAAGGGCATTTCTAAAATTGGGGAGAAAATGAAAATTGTTGAGCGTGAATTAGGGGTTTAAGTCCACCCCTAAATGAAAAAAAGGGTTTTAGCGAGTCCGAATCCAATGTTGATGCAGCTTCAATTGCGTACCGGAACATCCAATGAATATTGATCTTAGAACAACAAACCCTCGTTAACAAAAATGTTTCAGACCCCACTGGGGGTCAACCCCCAGTGAGGTGTAGCTTTGTGATTGGGCAAAAAAAAATTTTTTTTTTTTATTTTTGGTTTTCAGCCAGTGAAGGCGCGCCACGTCACTGGGGGCGCGACCCCCACTGGGGTCTGCAGCACTTCTCCCCTCGTTAATATCTCAATTACGTCAAATCAAAGTTTTTGATTAGTTAGAATAGTATCTAACTGACCGCACCGAAGTATTTCTCGGTCTTTCAAGTCGTCCTCTGCAGTCGTCTATAAAATTGGCCTCTCCACGTCCAATGAGGCAACACCAACCAATAAAACACCGCCACGTTTTATCACAAGACAAATCCACCGTTAGATCATCCACGCTGGCTATACCGGGCCAATCAGGAGTGTTTGGCACCGTGGACAATGGACACGATAGATCAGAGCCCAAGTTCTGAGTATAAATTGAATGAGAAATGGAAATCCAGATCGCAGAGTAGTCGAGAGGCCAATCCGTGAAGACGATTCATCACTCATAGCTCAAGTTTTTCAACGATGAGGAAGTGGACGATCCCTTCCGTTCTGTTGCTCCTTTGTCTTCTCTCTCTTCTTCCAGATCAAGGTACGTTAGGGTTTCTTCTTTCGCCATTAATGAATCTTCTCGAAGAGAGAGCGAGAGAGAGAATTCCAGAGTGTGTGTGTGTACTGTATAGTGTGGATCTCGCTTTGTGTTCTACGGATCTTGCATATTGCGAAGAAATTACTTCGTATTTCTTGTGTTTCTTACTGTGAATCGACCTTGTTCTGGTCTTTGCATCTCCAGGTAGGAAGTTACATGCGAATGCAGAAGATGATTCCGATGAACTGGTAAATCCACCGAAGGTTGAAGAGAAGATCGGTGCTGTTCCAAATGGTTTATCTACCGATTCTGATGTGGCTAAGAGGTTTGTAAATTGTGTGTTGAATTTCTTGTATATACTGTTCTTATTAGCTTGACTTGGAACTTGTAACGTGTTTTGTAACTATGTTGTTCAGGGAAGCTGAGTCGATGTCGAAGAGATCACTCCGCAGTAATGCAGAGAAGTTTGAATTTCAGGCTGAGGTGTCTCGGCTTATGGACATTATTATCAACTCACTTTACAGCAATAAAGATATTTTCTTGAGGGAGTTAATCTCCAATGCTTCTGATGTAAGTATATTTTTGCTCGTAAATTTCACTGGTTATTAAATTTATTAAGACTATTTGTGGTATTGGATTTAATTGTTAACCTGTTTCAATTCAGGCACTGGATAAGATTAGGTTCCTGTCACTCACAGATAAGGAGATCTTGGGTGAAGGTGATAATGCTAAGCTTGACATTGAGGTTAGTGATTTATGCTTTGACTATGGTATTTGTGGTATCAATTCTCACTGAGAATGTGAAACTTTTGTTTCTTAAGCAATACAGTTGGTTGAAATTGTTTCATGTAAAGACTGTACAGTATGACTTGCTTACACCAATCACCCAACCAGCATGACGCACACACATAGCCCGAAAAAAGAGAGACTATAACTTATTCTTTAAGCCTACAATGTGATAGATGCATATTAAATTAAACAAAGAAAGAAGATTTATAAAGTGACTCTTTTTTGAAGCTTATAATATGATAAATGCAGATTAAATTAAACAAAGAAAAAAAGATCATATCCATTCGTGATCGAGGTATAGGTA